CATGCCAGGCGTCCTGCCCTCCCCAGCCCTGGCACGGCTGCTGGCCAGCTCAAAGCAGCCRGGGAGTGGCCACGGCCGCTATTTCGGGAGCACTCCTGGTCCCCAGGCTGTGTGTTAGCCTCCAGACCGACTGGGCCCTGAGGGAGGCGCTGGGTCAGTGCTCAGCCCCGAAGAAGACCGTCCCGCACGCGTGGCAGAGCAAGGGTCAGGCCCCAGGGCAGCAGAGCGCACTGCCTGGGGAAGTGTCCTTGCGGCTCCAGCAAGGCTGGCAAGGATGTGGGGCAGGGACTCGCAGCCTGGGTGCAGGGCTCAGGTCCACGCACAGCAACGTGCCTGGAATAGGGGCCTGGTGCCTCCAGTCCCTCTCTACAAGGGCGCAAAGATAGAGAAGGGCACGGGTGTCTCCAGGAGCAAGGAGGCAAGTAGTATGCACACAGATGTGGGCAGGAGGAGGAGGCTGCTCCCAGAGAAGGCTGCCAGCTGCCACTAGAGCCTGGGACAGCAACACGCTGCCACCCATGCAGAGCCCGGCGCCACTGCGGCAGTGAAGCCCAGGCAAGCGAGGCGCGAGGCGTACACCAACCGCGCATGGAGGAGAGACCAGCGCTCCATCAGGAACTGGAGGGCACCAGAGCAGGGAGCCAAGCAGGATGAGGGGGCCAAGCCAGCACCGTACGAGGTGCAGGTAGCRCTGAGTGAGGCAGCGGTGGTGCAGGGAGGTGATGGGGTCTGGCCACATGTGCAAGGGGCCCTGTTGGTGGCAGGGATCCAGCCCAGCAGGCTGCTTTAGCACCGCAGAGTGGGTCAGGCAGATGCTGGGCCCCACAGGGCAGAACAGCACAAAGGGGCAGTGTGGGGGCAGAAGAGCTGGGTGACGGAGCAAGGACAGCAGCTGACAGAGCCAAGGGGTTGGGGAGAGCCTGGGGGGTCAGGGAGGGGAGCCACAGGTGTTGGGGCTTGGGAGCTCGCAGGGCTCACAGGGCTGGACGTCAGGAGGAAGCACACAGGCGTGGGGCAGGAGGAGCAGGGCTTTGGGGGGCAGGAGGAGCAGGGCTTTGGGGAGCAAGGGGCATTCTGGGGGGCCAGGACACGAAGCACAGGGAAGGAAGGGGCAGCTGAGAGGGGGCTGGGACACAGTGGAGGAAGGGGGGAGGCACTGAGGGGGCTGGGGGAGGAGCGGAGCATGGGGGAGAGGAACGCGAGGGGCTGGGGCCTCTCTGCTGCAGTGGAAAAGCTGCTGCAGCTCCAGGGGAAATGCTACTTGAATTAATCATGGCGCTGGCTGCTGTGCCAAGCCCAGGAGGAGGCTGCTGGCAGCGCAAGGAAATAACTTTCACAGGAATTTGGAACAAGCGCAGCTCTTCTGGCGGTAATAGCAGCGCTCACCTCCCCCACAATCTCCCCATGTACCAGCATCTCCCCCACATCCCTGCTCCCCACGTACCCCCAGGCGCCCCCGCACTGTGGTCTGCCCTCCCTGAAGCACGAGGCGCTCCCTCCCTTCCAGCAGGCTCCCAGGCATCTCCTCATCCTGCCTTGGGAAGCTTTTCTTCTCTTTTCTGAGAAGGGGGGAAGCCTGGTTTATGTCATACAAAGATCTGAAAATAGGTTAATGCTAAATCCCTCATCCCCAAAAAACATGCATGTAGCAATGTCCTCCCCACCTCCAGCCACTCTTGAGCTGCGAAGATAGAGCACTCGATCATGCCTTGTGCTGCTCCTGCCCCCACACACAGCTGCCCTCAGGTCCTCTCACAGCTGCACCTCCAGCACCACCCTGCACCAGGATCATCCCCACAGGCCTCCTTCTCCAGTGCACTGCCCAAGAGGAAGTCAGGGAAGTGCATGAGCATGGCCAGCCCCACTGAATTACAAATCCATGCTCAGACTTCAAAACTCAGGAGACTTGTCCTCAAAACTGCAAGATGAAGATATACATTTGGCATGTTCCTGGTCAGCTTTTGGTTACCGATGTTTTTCTTCCCCAGCAATTATGTTTATGTGTATGAGTGCAATGCAGATATATAAGCCCTGGCTCCAAGAGCATTAATACTGGATCTACGCAAGAATCAATAACCCACCATCTAATCACACCCACACTTCTGTCAAATCTGCCGCTTCTCACAACATGGAGTTTACACAGCTCTGTGCTATATGCTGACTGCCAGGGGCCTGACAATACTCAGTTTAGTTTGAAAAGTTAGAAAGACAATATCTGACCATGCACACAGTTCGCTGGTACAATCAATGAATACAATATAATGTTTATAACAAGTCTGAGCCATCAGGGTGAATTTACACCAGAAGTGTGCTTCACAGCATGTAACCATAGCACTTGAATAAGGTATAAGGAGCCCTAACACTGCTACATCATCCCCATTGGCACAAAGAGAAACAAAGACCGAAAGAAATAACTAGCAAGTGACTGTCTCCTGCTCTGCTTTCTGCTGCTGTGATGTCCACTGGCACCTTCTCTCCTGGTGTTCCCCTCTTATCGCAGGCTTGAACKTCAAGTTCCTTATTTTCTGTGCTTCATGCCTGTGACACCTAGCCCATTATAAACACAAGTAAGAAGTAAAGAAGAGGTCTTGAGATTTTTTTCCTTTAGTGCTCAGGAGTTCCGTTCATGAACTGAGCACAGACTGACCTCGCAGCAGGAACACGGAGGAGCAGGAGACACACAGCCCCACATCAAGTCCCTCGGGCACCACACAAGCTTCTCTTTCGCCCATCTTTCTGTCCTGCCCATGGAAAGCAGATGTCATCATCACAAAACAGCCCTGGTCCTCGCGGGGCCTGTGGCTTAGAAATGTGTTGGTCTGATGGAGGATCAAAGCCCTGCTGTGACCTCAAATCTGCCCTGTATCTGGCATGAGGTAGTGGAGGTGCTGCCCTTGGGCTGGTTTCTCATGAGCAGTGCTTCGGTTTGGCATCCCAAGGCAGGCTGACAGGCAGCGTTAGGCAGACTAAGTGCACACGGGGCAGGAGGCAGCACCCCCAAGGTGGCGAACCCCGGGGACGAGGGCTGGCTGGTAGCCAGCGGGGCCCGGCATCTCCGCAGTGCGGGGATGCTGCGGCTCGAGGTGCTGAGCGGGGCTGCCTGGGCCAYGGCCCCGCAGCCCTGCAGCTTCTTCCCTGGCTCTGCTCGGCGCCCCAGCCTGGCTTGCGCCGGCGGCGGCAAGGTGCCGAGCCGGCAGCCTAGCCAGCCTCCTTTCCCATCCTCTCACGTTTCCCGGCGCAGAGGAAGCAGCAGCAGATGTGCGAGCTGTTTGCTTTGTGCCGAGGCCACGCGGGAGTTACCTGCGCTCGGCCCAGACGAGCCGCTTCCAAACGAAACATGCGGCCCCGGCCAAGACCATCGAATCTGGCCCAAGCTCCAGCCGCTGCAGGCCACTCAGCCAGCGCCTCGTGTCCGGCACAGAGCGGAGCGGGACTGGCCCCCGTGCCCCGCCAGCCCTCGGCCCAGCCGCACAGCCACGCGCCGCCGGCCCCGCCGCAGCGCCCGGCCCCTCGCGGCTCCCTCCCGCCTGCGCCCCGCGCTGCGGCCAGAAGCCCGGCCGCCATCTCCGATTGCATTTCCAGAGCGCCTCCCTCGCAGCAGCCGGCGYGGAGCAGGAAGGCACGGAGAACGGGAGAGAGGCCTCCCTTCGGGGGCTCGGCAGCCAAGCCCAGCCGCCCCAGCAGCGCCTGGGCCCGCGGCTGCTCAGCCTCAGCCTGAGCCCTCGCCACCTCTGTCCCCACCCTCCATCCTGTCCCTGTCCTCAACCGCTCCTCATCCCTCTGGGGGATATTTTCCTCTGCGGAATGGTCCTCCTCATCTCCCAGCATGAACCACCCCACCTCACTACACAGCTGCCCCATCCCAAACGTCCCTCTGCTCCACACTCTCCTCCCATTGTGCCTATCTCCGGCCCCCACTCTATATCTCCATCCGCTACATTCACCCACCCCCTGCTCCCATGCCCCCACACCCATCCGCCTCAGACGTGCGTGTCCCACACTCCCCACCCAGCAGTGCTCCTGGCAGCACGCATCCATTTGCTCTTCTCCTCACTTCTACTTTCTCCTTCTGGCCCATTTGGAGGCCCCTTCCCCTGGCCTGCCATGGGGCAAGGACTCCTTCTGCCTYGTCTCACAGCCCTCAGAGCTCGTGCTTCCCCACCTCCTCCTCCTGGGCCCACAGCCACCACTCATTACCTGGCTTCACAGGCCAGATGACCAGCRCAGAGACCCTTACGCTGATCCATAAGTTGCACACTGCCTTGTTCGGCAGTGCCCTTCTCTGCTTCTACACCAGCATCCCACTGCCGGCGCCACCCACCACATAGCCCCTTTTGTTACCATGGAAAAAAAAACAAGGGCTCTGCATATGAAAATCTTTGGCATTGCTGGCACAACTGGAGGACCACAGAGCTTGCCAGAGGGCCAGCACCTCTCCAAGCCTCACCCACTCTCTCACTATGACATGAAGACTGATACAGCACATAATACCACAAAACTGCTACTGCCAAGGTAATATAACAATACCAACCATGCATAATTAATGCTAATATTCACAACTAGCCTTACAAACACTGACGAACTTAACCTCATGATCTCAAAGGCAGAGGGGAGAAGTTAGCCCAGCTAGCAGTCCCTCTCCGAAAACTGACTCTTGAGCCCCGTTTCTAGTATCTTGGCCTGCAAGGCAGCTTCACACTTGTGTGAGCAATGCCTAGCACAGCCGACTCCCAATTTCAGCTGTGGTCAACACACTGTTTGGCACGAAGAAGGGGTAGCCTGTAGTATGACCAGTGCTCACCTGCACCGGTGCTCACATGCAGAAAGTGGACAGCAGAGCTCTGACCCCTCTGCCAACTTGCACTGGGCAGAAGGAGGTCTATTCTGACAATCCTGGTGCAACCATTGCCCAAATATAAGCCCTAGAAACTGCACCTCAAACATGTCCCAACCCTCTCACAGAATAGCCCTCCCTGAGCTCCTCTTATATTTGTACCCACCTGTAGGAAGCAGGTCCCAACAGGGGTGTTCTCCTTCAGGGACACGTTGTAGAAGTTACTCTTGAACACCGGCTCATTGTCATTGACATCCTGCAGTGCCACATGCACCACAGCTGAGGAAGAGAGGGCAGGGGTTCCCTTGTCCATGGCCAGCACTGTCAGCTGGGGCTGAGGATCCTTCTCATAATCCAGTGGAGCAGCAGTAGTAATGATACCTGTGGCTGGGTCAATGGCAAACCAGCTGGAGTGGGTGTCATGGTCATGCACAATGCTATAACGCACTTCCCCATTAGGACCCTGGTCCTTGTCACGAGCTGTGACCTGCAGGACAAAGCTGCCTGGGTACACAACCTCAGGAATGCTCTGTTTGTATTCCTGCTGATCAAAGAGCGGAGGATTGTCATTGATATCCATCACTTGCAGCACAAAGGCAGATTCTGCCCGGAGCGGTGGTGTTCCTGAGTCAGTGGCAGTTACCCGCAGATCATAGGAGTCTCTTTCTTCCCGATCCAGAAGTTGGTCTACACAGATCAGGTAGATGATGTTGTCCTTGGTAGTGAGGGCAAACTTGCCATCCCCTCCCTCCAGGGTGACATTGACATTGGAGTACTCACCGTAGTCTGGGTCTGAAACAGAGATGCGTGCCACATACTGGCCTGGTTGGGCTCCCTCTGATATCTGCGGGGACCCATCTTCACTGAGGAAGATGATGGTCATGGTGGGCTGGTTGTCATTGTAGTCACGTACATGAATGGTGACAAAGGCTGTGGTGATCTCAGGATGGACAGCCTTATCCCGTGCCTGCACCACTAGCTCATGCACCTTCCTTACTTCATAGTCTAGACCCTTATTGAGCTTGATGACTCCAGTTCGGGAGTCAATGGTGAAGTACTGCTCGGGATCACTCTGCCGACGATTTATCTCATAAACCACATCCCCGTTGTCACCTTCATCTGCATCAGAGGCAAAGACTTGCAGTATGCTGCTGCCAGGCTTCAGGTTCTCTGAAATAAGTGTATGATAGCGGCTCTGGTTGAAGGTAGGAGCATTGTCATTAATATCCTGGATAGACACATCCAGGGTCATCTGGGTGCTCYGGGGAGGAGAGCCACCATCATAGGCTTCCAGCACTAGAGAGTATGATGAACAGTTCTCCCGATCCAAGATGTTGCTGACCACCAGGTCCAAATACAGGACCCCATTGGGTCCTCGACGTGTTTCCAGGCGGAAAGCCTGCCTCATATTACCTCCCTTAATCACATAGCCTTGGGTATTGAGCAGGCCACTGTCAGCATCAAAGGCTGGGTCCAATGGGAACCTACTTCCTATAGGTGTGTGCTCTGGGATCTGGAAAGTGCTGTGCGGTTTGGGAAAGGCTGGAGCATGGTCATTGATGTCATTAACTTGTATGTTCACTTCTACTGTGATGCCTTCTGGGGTAACAGCAATGAAGCTGTATCGGTCTCGGGTTTCTCGGTCCAGGACACGGGCTGTTTTGATGATACCTGTGTTCTCATCTATCTCCAGATCGGTGGTAACACCACTGCCCTCCTGTGCAGAGATAAAATACATATAGGCAGTGGTGCCAGGAGGCAGGCCAGCACTGATGTCCCCAATGATGGTGCCAGCTGGCTGCTCCTCATCTATTTGTAGATCCAAGGTGCCCAGGACAGCAGAGCCCTTTCCTGCTCTCAGCCCCCCCAGAATTAGCAGCTCTAGCAGAAGTACGGCTGATCCCTTCATCTGCTCCATTGCTAGTGACTTGTAGAACAGAGAGCGGCTCAGGCTCCTTTGCAGTGTGTTCTTTAATCCTGCAAAGAATGCAGATCAGAGGAGGATGGTTGAAAGTGAGCAGCAAATGAAGGATAGGAAAAAAAAAACACACACACACACAAAAAAAAAAAAAACCCTACCAACAACATGAGGACAGAAGACCGGCCAGTTTCCCATTGCCTGATTGCACTGTATCACCTACTCCTCAAAAGGAACCAAGACGAAAGTAGATTAGAGCAGAGTGTACCCATCAGGAAAGCCTGTGCAGTGGCACCTGAAGCAGGATGAGTTGAGCATACCTTAACCACTAAACTGAGATTACTGGCTGATACAGTACTCCCATAGCCCAACTGTCTTTCTCCATCACCAGCCCTTATGCCTTACCCRCTGCTGGCAGCTCTGGAGCTCGCTGCCCTAGAGCAGAGGGTTCCCATGCCTCTAGTAGCCAAATGTTTCCTGTAAGGCTGAGAGCAGCTGTCTGCAAGACTGCCAAGTGCTTTGAACAAGCAGCAGCCCAGCACCTTTCCACCCTGAAAGAAATTGTCTCAGACTGAGAGTCAGCCCAAAAAGTGACACCCGTTGAAACCCCCTCCAGTAGCAGATATTTCAGGACCACAGAGATCTAGCCACCAAAAACACAAAGTGCAAATCTGGTGTTCTTGGGAGGGGACAGCACAACTCGAGCAGGCTTACACCCCCATGACCTGTAAATCACCATGTCACTATTGCCAGGGATGTACCCACAGCTGGGAATATCCAGGCTAAAACTCCACCCTCCCTAGGCTCATTGTTTGGCCTGGCACCAAGATCTGTGGATACCCCAAGCTGGTACCATGGAGGGTGGTGGCAGGAGAGCAGGAACGCCACAACTCACTGCGAACTGCCAGCTGCTCTGGCTCCTTCCTAGTCCCACACCCTCCCTTGCTCACTCTCCTCCATTGTCTCCTTCTCGCTTCTCCCTGCTCCTCCTGGCTCCTTCACACCATTTCCCCCTGCCGTAGCTTCTCTTCACTGCAGCAGTGGGGGAGGGACGAGCAGGGAGGCGCAGCTCCCTGMAGCACCACCACCATTGGACATGCTGGACATCCTCGTGGGGCCCAAGGGCTGCCAGCCTCGGGGCTCTGCTCACCCTCAGAGCCAGAGCAGCTCAGCAGCCAAGGAGCTTGCAGAACGCTCCAGCCCCAGCGCTGATTTTTAGCCCCTGGTAAACAAGGCTTAGTGGTCTGCAGGGATGGCGGCAGCATGAGCTCACACTTGGACTCTCTTGAAAGCATTTGCTGCTGGTCCCATAACCACACTCAGGAGCTGCTCATGGCAGACATGGGATGGCAGGAACCTCCCTGTTTTGGGGGCAGAGGTGTCTCCCATTGCCTCCTTTAGAGACTAAAAATGGCAGCCCTTAGTGTAAAGAACCCTACAGCAGCATTAACCCTTTCTGGGAGGCATTTCTGAATTCTATTTCCCACTTCAGAATAACTGTTTAGGGTGGACATTTACCAGTGGAAATCCCAGGTTAGTGGCAGGAAGAACAATCCTAAAGAAGTGTTTCCTACATATAAAGAAATGTTTATTTACTTCCATGAGCTATAGGAACTAGAAGCGTATGTAYACACCTAGTGCCTGAGGACTAGGGCAAGAAAACCCTCACATTGTTCCTACACCAAGCACACCTGAGCACTGAATGTTTCTCAGCAGTAGAAGTTGAGGGATACTCATATCTCCATGGCCACTAGCTGGGGATTAGCACTAACTTGGTGGTCCCGGAGAGGTCCATCTCTTTTTCTGTTGGAGTTAGTATGGCTCCCACAGCTGAAGAGGGGACACGTATATGCAGAGCATTCAGAGCTGGGCAAACGRGGTCTGGGTCTGCTTCTGTGATGACACCAATCCTAACTGTGATCCCTCTGCTCAGGCACACTGCGGGAAGGCACAGTGCAGAGAGCTTTAAGCCTTGCCAGCCAAGTAGACCAAAACTCAGGGAAAAGGAGTGCAGGCAAAAGGAAAAGGAGGGCCCAAGAACAGTAAAGGGTCAAAGCTTCCTGTGATAATCTCAGTGGTTCAGGGGACAACATGATGCTGAAAGGTCTTGGGCCGTGTCTGCCACGGATCAGGGAGCGGCTATGAGGAAAAAAAGAAAAAGGAGGGGAAGCTGAAGGCAGAGTAGCAGGGCTGTTGTGGGCTGCTTGGGGAAAGGAAGGAAAATGGCAGAGTGAATCTGGGAAGCGTGAAGAACAGCTGAGACCATTGGACAACTTGAGGAATGGATGCCAGGCTTTTGGACTGTGGAACTGGTGTTAAGTCTGCCTAAACTTTTCCCTTTCCATCCTGTCTGGATGCAAGAACCTAGACACCTCTTAGGTAAGAGATCTGACTGCCAGATTGCACCCATGCAGGACGGGCAGAAGGCCATCCGTGGTGCTAGCAGCCCTCTGATCCTATGAGCTTTGCAGGCTTAAGTCGGCGGGGAAGACAGCAGTGACCTCAGTGGATGCAGAGTCACCAAATCTGAGCAGCTGCTTCCAATTAGCAGATAGCTCAGCGCAGGGGCTGGCGCGGCTGGTCCAGGCCCAGCCCGTGTAATGTGAGCCAGACTGCCCTGCTCCCCCTCTGTCCCTCCCACCCCTGGGCACTGAGCTCCCTAATAACAAATGGCAGCAGAAGCCTTGGCAAAAAAACTGTCACCATGAGAATCTTACCAGGGGTCCAGAGCCATAGCAAGGAGTCTGATGGGAAAGGGAGATAAAATGGAGTGGCCTGACATACAAAGAGTCTCCTAGCCTAAGGCTAATATGCCAGGAACCCAGGAGAGCGAGGCTTACGCTTAGGAGAGAAGCCACATTTGGCAAATATGAGAAGGAATTATGGAAGGAGCACTAGAAGCATTCCCGCCTGCTTGGTGCTAGCACTTCCCACCCTCCTACCCCATGTCAGCCATGAGGAAGGGGTAGCAGGCCCATGCTGGCCCCAGTGAAGAAGCTGGAAAGACAGCACCCACTGTGCATGCCACAACCAGATGTCAGAGCCCTTGCTGCACAAAAGCGCCATCAAAGCTACAGATGCTGCTGATGCAGTACCCAGAGCCTCACATGAGAGGCCATGACTCATGTAACACTGTTTTTGAGACTCCAGTTCAGGTCAGGAAGGATGCAGAAGCCTATTTCAGCTTTGCTGAGCTCCAGTCACTGTCCTGAAACATACTCTTCTACCTTCACAGAGGTTTCTCCTCTCCAAAGAATTTTGGAACATCTGTCCTTCAAGCCAGGTACAGTCCAGCCCTGCCTTCAGTGCATCCCTACATGAATCACTCAATTTCAACCTCTACTTGGTCTGCTCAGACCTACAACCCTCTCCCTGCCCTCTGTCCCTTTTAGTAGCACCARCCTGCCTCCCAGGACCAGCACCTCAATCCCATCCCCTCTGTCTCCCAGCCTATCCACAGCCTCCTTTCCCTCCAGTGTCAGACCCAAGCAGTGCCTTGGGTCATGCTCTCATGAGGGCATGGTCAAGCTTCACTGTATCCCTGTGCATCCCAATGCCAGGCCAGGGATTCTTGTAGGCTGCACTGTCTCTGAAAAMACTCCCCCACATCACAAAAAGAAAGAAGCACCAACAAAAGTTCCTCACTATCCAGTTCCCACCGCCTGAACCCAACAGCAACTCACAGTGGAGCCACCCTAACCACYCTGGATGCCCATGACTGGGGCCACCCCTGCTCCCTGTCCCTCAGGGCTCTGTCCCTCAAGACTCAGCTGTTGGGACTCCTTGGCCATCGGGGCCCCTCTTCCAGGGGGGCAGTCCACCTAGACACCCCAGCAGCTGCAGAACTCCCACGCTTGGAGCTCCCTGCCCCTCGGGGCTCCGCAGATGAGGGGGTCCCCCGGACATCGGCGCCCCCTTGTCCCGCGCCCAGCTCCTGTCCTCAGCCCCTCCCGGGGACCCCCGCGCCGGAACGCTGCCAGTCCCCGCCGAGAGCCGCTGGGGCGCAGCCCCCGGCTGCGCTCTGCAGCCTCGCCGGGCGCTGCTCTGCCCGCCGGTGCCCTGCTCCCCGCTGCCAGCCCGGGGGAGCCGCGGGCGAGGCCGGCCCGGTTCGCAGCGCTGCGGCGCCGCGGGCGCGCCCCCCTTCCCCCCCTCCCCGCCCGCCTCCCGCCTCATTGTCTGTGCAGCGGAGGCAGAACAAAGCGCCCGGTCCTGGCCCGGCCCGGTCCGGCTCGGCCGCCGCGCGGCACTCGGGATAGCGGCGGCCGCGGGCCGATCCTCGCGCCCCCACTCACACAGTGCGTCCCGCGGGATCGGGCCCGGCGAGGTGTCCCGCAGCCGCTCCGCTAGCTCGGCGCTCCGCGGAGGCGGCCGCTCCGGCAGTGCGGGCGCTCCGGCACCCGCGGCGACCTGCGGCGTGCTCCGGTGCGGCGGCCGCCCCGGTGTCCCGGCCCCCGGCGCCGCGGCCGCCCCAGTGCCGCGGCCGCCCCGCGCACAGATCGGCGGCGAGCGCGGCTCGGCGCTGGCTCGGCGCGGAGGCTCCTGCTGAAACCCGAGCCAGCGCCGCCCTCAGCCCCCCTCTCTCCCCGCCGCCCCCATCCCCGCCCCGCCACCGGGGCGCGCCGCCGAAGCGTGGCCGTTGGGTAGGGTCCGGAGCTGGGCCGGGTCCGCGGTTGGGGACCGGGTCCGGGGCTGGGGATCGGGTCCTGGCCTGGGCTCTGGGACTGCGCGGTGAGGCGCGGGGCGCCACGGATCTGGGTATAAACGGTGGGGTGGGGGGCGGTGCGGCCGCGGGGGGGAGGCAGTGATGGAGGTGAGGCACCCGGCCCCGGAGAAGGGGGAAGAGGGAGAGAGCAGTGAGGTGCAGCACAGTGCTGGCATGGGACCAGACAAGGAGCAGAATGAGCAGGAGGAGACCAGGGTGGGGGACATGGTGGGGGACATGGTGCACATGGGTGCAGAGGCATAGCCTAGCTCTGCTCTCTGCCAGAGCCCTGGTTCCAGCTCCTTCAACCTGCCAACACCTCCACACACATTGGAAGAGTCCATGCTGCCACCATTCAAGCGATTTGGACTCACCAGTACTTGTCCATGCTGCCAGCCATGCAATGACGAGGGCCCACCAGTGTGTACTGGGAAACAAAACAGGACAAGATCTCTAGACATCCCTTCCAATCTCAACCATTCTGTGGTTCTGKGATTCTGGGAAAGGTGTCAGGCACTGGCCCRTGACTCCCTGAACTGCTTCATTAGCGGCCGGCTCCCTGACTCAGCTTGACCAATTGATTTTCTTCAGAACCTCTACCCCCGAGAAACCAGACCATGGCAGTTTTGGTATGTATGTTGGGGACCATGCTGGGGCCAACATCAGTCATTGACCCTCTTATCTCTCAATAGAGACACAACMACTGACTCCTGTCTGTGACACCTTATTGCTAAGATCATGTACCCTGAACTGCACAACTTGGTCTGCTCCATCAGGAGATTCCTGAGGTTCCCTCCATCAATGACAACTAACGCAAAGAGAACCCCTGGCTGAGCCTGATTTAGAATTAAGAAATAACTCTGGATTACTTTTACTGATCTAAAAGCACTCTGAGAAAATCAAAGCCTTTTGAATCCTGAATAGCACATCTTATAACACTTCTTATAAATTCACTAAGCTTTATCTCTAACAAATTAATTTGTTTCTCTACTCCTAACTCCAGTAGGTTACAGGAAAACTAGGAAAGGTTAAGAGGGGAGAAGTATGTTGAGGCTTCCTGAATACGGAAGAACCATCTGCAGCCCAGAAAGCATGTAAGTCACAAACGTTGGGCAGGATTGGAATGGGAGTGTGCTTAGGCCCTATAATGTATGTGGTGCTATGTTTTTCCATACCTTCCTGTGCATCCATTGTAGCTGCTGTTGCAGACTGCTCCTGGGCTAGGGGACGTCTTGAGATAACTCCCAGCAACTGTCTTTATGGTCTAGTGGATGTCCCCAAACCCCTCACTTTTAACAAGGAGATTTTCAGATTTAATTCAGCTATCATAGAACCACAGAATCACAGAATATTCAAGGTTGGAAGGGACCTCTACAGATCATCTAGTCCAACCTTCCTGCTCCAGCAGGCACACCCAGAGCATGTGGCACAGGGTGGCATCCAGGCGGGTTTTGAAGAYCTCCAGAGAAGGAGACTCCACARCCTCCCTGGGCAGCCTGTGCCAGGGCTCTGGCACCCTCACAGGAAAGAAGTTCCTCCTCACATGGAGATGGAACTGCCTGSGTTTCACCTTATGCCCATTTCCCCTTGTCCTATCACTGGCCACCAATGAGAAGAACTTGACCCCTTCTTCCCTACATTCTCCCTTCCTGAACTTATACATGTTAATCAGATCCCCTCTCAGCCTTCTCTTCTCCAGAGAAAACAGATCCAGCTCACTCAGTCTCTCCTCATACGAGAGATGTTACATTCCCTTAGTCATCTTAGTTGCTCTTCTCTGGACCCTCTCGAGAAGCTCCACGTTCCTCTGGCATGTCCTCTTTATTTTCGTGTTAAGACTTTTTTTTTTTGACCTTATTCCCTCCCAGATGTTTTCAGAAACAGCAGCAAGCTCTTCTTTTAGCCACTCTAATTCTAAATTAAGCAAACCTCATGCTTTTAGTTTTGTCTCATGAGCAGCTATGTACTGCTGCTATTATCCTCATTGGTCTTCCATGGGAATGTAATTTACGTTCCCTAATTTAAACTGATCTATCTTCAATGTAGGGGATCATAATTCCCACAGTGTTCTGATGATGTGCCATTTGTGCCTTATAGGAAAGCACTTAAGGGCAGTCTTCCTTTTTCTCTGTTGGAAATCTCTTGCTTATTGTACTCAGGGATGACACTCGCTTTTTCATAGTTGCATCATCTTACTGTTTTACATACAACTCACACACAGGTCCTCTTTCTTTCCTGTGTCTTCTAACTAAGGTGCTCCTAGCTTCCAGCTGAAAGTTTTCTTGCACATCACTAAGACTGAGATTCAAAAAGTGATCTTGGCATATGCCATCCACTGGTTTATAATGCCTTGGTATCTGTGGTATTATTGATCTGTGTGCAAACACAGTAACTTTCACCTTGTGCTAAATCAATCAAATCCATGACACTGAAGATCCTGAAGGAGGCAGTGAATTTGAACCTCTGGCTGCTGGCTGCCATATTTGGAAAATGGTGCCATTTGGAGGGACCTTTGATCTGGATGGATGGATGGATGGATGGATGGATGGATGGATGGATGACTGGAATAAAAAGTCTGACAGTTTTAACACCTTTAAGAAAGACAAGAGGAACTCAAAGACCTGCCAGCTTGTCAGCATCATCTCTGTACCTGGAAAGCTTGTGGAACATGTTCTCCTGTGGAATGTGTTAGTCTGGCATGATTTGGCACTTTATCATATTTGCCATTTACTGTCATGTCTTCTAATGATTAATTCCCTTTTAAATCCACTCTGAACCTTATATGCAACTGTGAGAAATCTGCATTTGCTCATATTCCTCACATCAGTTTCCCTTTTTCAGAATATGTGATGTTCATTATTCTTCAACTCCATAGTATTACCTCAGATTATTAATCTTCTCAAAACTGCAATTTATACTTGAATACTGCCTGTATTTAGAGGCAGAAATTAACCAATTCCATTTGAACTCGGGGTAAAATCTAATTTAATAGATATTCTTGGAACCCTTTGGCAAAGGATGCTTCATCACCCATAACATACTTGGACTTTTAGACTGATATCAGCAATGGTTCTGACATACAAGTATCTCGAGATGGCCAGAGGAGAGAATGGTGGTCTACCTATGTCCAGAAACAGGACTGAAATATGTTATGCAACTATCCTGGGCTGAAGGCGACCGACTGACCGATTGTTAAAGTGGGGACMGGACTGCAAGGCTCCCGGCCTTGACATGCCTTTTGAGCAAAATTTGCAGGTGACTGAGTTATTGGTATTAATAAGTGCTCTGGGTAACTTCAGAGATTAAACTAAATTAGGAGCTAGTGCAACATGGCAAATTGGTTTCAGCAATGACCCTGATCCTGTATCACAGGATCCATATACTCATCCCAGACGTGATTTTGCGTGTTTCCACTCTCTCCAATAGCAGGAGTGGTCTGGCAACTCTGCACCTTCCTGTTAGATGGCATCTTGTTCCTGAAGCGGTAGGAATAATCTGGCAGATATCCCAGTAGGACTTAGTCAGTTGTTCAGAAGTTTCCCACTCTTGCAGAATGGGACCTGACTTTAGAAGTCCCAAACAGGAAATCCTTCTAGGATGTGCTTAGGCCCTGATTCCCGGACGTTCACRGCAAGCAAAGGCTTCCTGCATTGAGAATGGAGGTTAAAAATAAAAGAAAKCAGCACCTGTTAAGAATGTATGTGACCAGGAGGTGTGGTAGGGGGAGCAGCTGTCCCAAACGCAGGAATAAGTTTTTCAGGTGAGATCCAAAGTCAGCCTCTGCCATTTGAAACCCATGAAATATCGAGCGTCACCAGGTCATCCCACCTTGCAAGCAGAGCTGGTGTCTCATCTTTGCAGCTCTATACTCCTGGTCAGAGGGAAACACTGCTAGCACTGAGGCAGGATATAACCCAACTGGCTGGCTTTGAACCTTACAGCAGGTGAGTCCTTCTGCATCTCCTACTTGGCTGGATGGACACAGAACTTCTCCTATATAAAGGAGACTACTTCTATACTTGTATCTCCCCATTATATTTCCATGGCATGGGTTATGGTCATGAGTAGACTGGAGCCCCTCATTCCTGGGCTGCCTGTGATGGATAGTTTTGGGATAAGGCAGYGAAAATTCATGGTTTCTGATAATTTGAATAAAAAAATGTTTGTAATCCTGGAAACCTGATGAGGCTCTGGCAGTTCTGGAGTCAACTGGATTGAGCAGTGGTTTCAGCATCACAATAAGGCTGTGTGATGCTTGGTGTAAAGATGCCCAGCCATTGCATTTCCTTGTATCACATATTTCTCATGGCAATTCCCATAGTCTGTTTCCAAGGACTTTATGCAGTCCTAAAGGCCCTGAACAGTTGATTGTCAATTTTGCCTCCTCTTTTAAAGAATTTCCCTATCACAGAAAAACTTGTGAAATAATTGGCTTTACAATGTAGCCCTGACCTACCTCCTTGTCTTGAACTTATATGATGCATCTTGCAGGCTCTGAGTTCCATTGCTCATTGCTTTATGTGAATCAGTCATAGAATCACAGAATCACAGAATGGTTAAGGTTGGAAGGGACCTCTAGAGAGCATCTAGTCCAACCCTGCTGCTCAAGCAGGGAGACCTGCTTAAGAGCATATGGCACAGGGTGGCAT